GAAAAACTCCACCCGCGCATCTTACCCCTCGGGGCGGGCGCGCAAAAAGGAGGTGTGACAGCTGGTATAGTAAAACTAGCAGATAAATCCCTACATCAATAGACGATCAATGACATTCTTAGTCTAACTCCTAACTGGCTAGTCTCACTCTATTGTGCTGTAGAAATATTCACAAGTTTCCCCTAACCTACAACCTTAATGCTCGACCTCCATAATTCTCTGTCAAGGGCCAAGTCCTCAGTAATCCTAAGTCGCGTCATGTCCTGTCTGATCACCTCTCCCCAATACTTCTTAGGTCGCCCTCTACCTCTTAATACGTTTCAGGTTTTCAAAAGAAATGAGCTCAATTTTACAAAGAATAGCAGACAATAAATTAAAGGTACAAAATGAAGTCATAAAAAAATTAAAGATGAAATTCATCACATGGTTCTCTGCCAAAAAATAGAAAGGGGAAATAAAAATAGAAGTGGCTTCGCCCGGACTCGAACCGGAGACCTTCAGTGTGTTAGACTGACGTGATAACCAACTACACCACGAAACCTGTTTGGTTCTTATTGAACTCATTTTCTTATTTTAATCATGCATACAATCTTAAGTGCTCCTTCCATTCTAATTTAAGAAAGAAATTGAAGTATGTTCTTATTCGAGTAGAAAGTGTAAAATTAATTGTTTCCAAATATAGAAGTATGTTCTTATTGGAGTAGACTAATTAGAAAATAGTACTCAAATAAGTGATCTTACGACCTTTTTATATAAGTGTTATTTTACATAATCAAGACGGAATTAATTTTATTTCTCCAAAATTTGCCCCTTATTTACATATCCCAACGTGTCAAGGTAACAATATGCAAATTTTAATTAAGGGTAATTTAGTCAGTATATCTTCTTTTTTTTCTCTCAGAGTTAGTATTTTCTTAAGGGGTATGTCAAAGGTCAAAAAGTCACTTATTATAGACCGAAAAAAGTATGACATAAACTGAAATGGATGGAGCATTTGCCAGTAGTCTGAAGCCATCTTTGAACCATTTTTACCACTATACACAAGAAGTTTTGCTTGTATCAGCAGGAGCCAACTATTTATGTGTCTAAATAATTCTGGTTTATACAGAGGTGACGTGACACTTCTCCTAGGACAACAGATGTTATTTATCTTGTAATTCCTTTGTTTAAAAAAGAATGAATCTATTACTATTTTGGAAGTCAAACAAGATTTTCTTTGGCCATATTTTTGCAAATAGTTTTTAAATTTTTTGAATTGTTAATTATTGTAACATATGGTATTTTTTATTTAGTTTCTAAATATGTATATTTTATTTTAAAAAACATAAAGAATCTATGTCCAAATTCACATTGAAATATAGTCAATTTAACCATCGTACTCCGAAAAGGTTAAAAAAAAAAGTGTTATTAGATTGTTGCCTTTTTTTCTCTTCTTCCCTTTCCTCCCATTTAATCTCTTTCAGTTTTAGTTATGTATTAAGTACTAATTTTGAAACTATTTGATATACATTGTTGACTTATACAAATTTATGGATTTAACAATGACTACATTCTTTATAGTTAATCAAAACCAGACACAAAGTGATTCATATCAGTTCAGTAATTATATTTCTAACACAAAGGAAAATGCAGGTTCAGGACATTAAACATTCAGAACTAACGGGCCTGATACACAAAGCATCACGCATTTACACAGAGTCAGGGAAATGGCCGCACATCAAGAGGGTGTGATATAGGTAGTCTACCCTGATGCAAGCATCAATGGCTGATTCCACGGCTCGAACCCGTGACCTATAGGTCACACAAAGACAACTTTACCGTTACTCCAGGCTCTCCTTCTAAACATTCAGAACTAGATACATATATATATGTTAGCATGTTAAACACTTTTGAAACTCAATCTGCAAACTTGAACTTAAATCATCTTAATATATGTGCAAAAAACCACGGCTAAACTCATCCGAATCTCCTCTAACAGGCATTCCATGTCTGTCCAATCGACCAGAGCCCGGATACACGCCTTTGCTAGTGAAGTTGGTAGAAAAATTAGAACTATTTTGCAAGTTAGATCTTGAGTATATCTTTGTTGAGTTTGACATATCATACTGAGGTCTTAGTTTTGGTGCACTTATTGATCGCGTCTTTGCCTTAGCTGCCTCGGTGTAAGACATGTAGTTTGGATGATTACTCGAGTAGCTTCTTGTACCATCGGTACTCTTAGTTGGCGTAAATGGTCCTCGCCTCGAACGAGCATATTTCGATGATGATGAGTGAAGTTGTGGGCTATTATCAGCAGAAGAGAAACATGTTTCATCCAAGCTATAACTTAATTGGTCTGAATTTAAGCTAAGATCAGATGAATAGAAGAGATTCCTATGTGTGGAAGTAACATATGGATTTCCAATATCCATTCTGCAGCCCATATGGTTTGAAGAATTCCTCTGCATTAATACCATTTTATGTTAAGCATAAGTTTGTGCAAATAGATAATGAGGAAAACATCCAAATTTACCTCTCTAGCATATGAAATACAACAACAACAACAACACGCAGAGTATATTCCCACAGTGTGAGGTCCGGGAAGGGTAATGTGTATGCAGACCTTGCCTCTACCTCGCAGAGATAGAGAGCTTGTTTTCGATAGACCCTCGGCTCGAAGAAGTAATTCACATCAGGTCTAGCATGTGCCTTTATATTTTAGGGTCATTCATATCCTTGTTATTAGCAAGTCGTTTCGTACTTGCCCTTTACCGTAACACTGCTCTATCATGGATTGGTTGGATTCCACGTGTCAAAATACATCACTAAAAAGGTCCAAACTTATCTCTCTAGTCATCACTCTAGTCTAAAATTATCTTCAGTTATACTTCAAGTTGGAACTTTGTTAGGGTTATTGGCAAATACGAGACGATTTGCTAACAACAACATTATGAACGACGTCAAAGTATAACGGAGGGTAAAGAGAGATATTTTCGACCATTTTTCCTAGGTATAATGCATCTTCTAGAGTATAAAATATCTGGCCAATACCTTGAGCATAAACATTTCATCATTCTTCATGCTCCTTGCACGAATAACATGCTCGAATTTATCAGGAGTTGCAGGACCCTATACACCAAGATTCAAAAAAAAAAAAACAATTGTTAAACTAGGACAAAATCTTTGTAAAACTAAATAATTTACCTCAATTAGTTGACAATTACTACAACTTGTTACTAATTAACTTATTTTCAAGCTTCTTTTCAAATTTGAAAATGGAGGGAAAGGTGATATTTTACTTACATGATGAAGAAATTGAATAGACTTGGCGCTAAAATGAGGCGATTCAGAAACCTGAGATCGTCCAGCACGAGCTCTCGACTGAGCTCTTATCAGTACATGCATACGCCTTAGCATATCAGCAGTTTGCTTCCTCACAATATGACCTCTTACTAATGCTTGAAGCTTCACAAGTCCCTTCAATGCCCTTAATGCTCTCCTTGACTTCAAATTTAAACACAAAATAGAAAATCATTAAACTAATTAGTCGTACAATCAAGTATCATTACTACAACAACAACAACAACAACAACAACCCAGTATAATCCCACTTAGTGGGGTCTGGGGAGGGTAGTGTGTACGCAGACCTTACCCCTACCCTAGGGTAGAGAGACTGTTTCCAAATAGACCCCCAGCATCCTTCTCTCCAAGAACTTCCCACCTTGCTCTTGGGGAGACTCGAACTCACAACCTCTCGGTTGAAAGTGGGAGTTGCTTACTCATTACTGTAGTTGTGAATACAGGATTTAGAGCTAGTGAATTTAGAATGAGTGATTTTATTATTTGTAAGCATTTTAATGTTTTTTACGTTTCTATACGTAGTTTGAACAGAAAGGCGAAAGCAATGAGTTCAGATTAAAAATACAGAAACACATTCTAGGTTCGCCCCTGCACTGGTGGCTTAGTATAATGTCAAGTGACATGAAATTCAAGAATCAGGTTGTAACAACAACAACAACAACAACAACAACAACATCAACAACCCAGTGGAATTAACAAGTAGGGTCTGGAGAAGGTAGTGTGTACGCAGACCTTACCCCTACTTATGAAGGTAGAGAGGCTGTTTCCGAAAGACCCTTGGCTCAAGAATGTAAAAAATGGAGTATCAAAAATCAGGTTGTGTCAAGAAAAAACACTAAATTCCAAAAAGAAATGAAGTTGTTTTAGATGGATAATTTTCTATGGAACTTGGAACAAAAAAACATGAAATTTTTTCAAAAGTGATAGGCGCCCTAATAATTCATTTTCACACTTTTCTAAAGTCTACGTTTGACATTTTCAGAAAATTAGGACAGATGACCATTCACCAAAACCTTGACCAATGTCTTTGTATTATCAACTTGAGACACATACTTATAGGTAATTCTTATATTCAAATTCAACAAAGTGGTCCATTAAAATTTTCGTACTCGATATTTATACCAAATCAATGAATACATGTTATTTATTTTTTAAATACGGGTTTATTACTTATCATGATTAATTACTACATACTTATCTTAATCTATTACTTAACTGTAGTATTAATGTAATTTGATATAAACACCGGATGTGAATAAATTTAATTTGTTGCTTCTGTACTTTTGATCAAACTACACAACTTTTCATTTACTCTTTGTTTTGATTCTTTTTCTATGATAAAGAAGCACCATATATAATAAGAGTGAAGCTAGTTTAAAAGCAACAAAAGAGTACCAATTGCCAAATTCGTGTAACATTAAATAGGATCATCAAAAACAGTCCCATGTGAGCTTTGTACAGCTTCTAGCATTACTTGCCAAATTGCATAAATGTTCTAAACCGGGTTAAAACTTACTCGCATCTGATGTTTACATCAAACAAATAGCATAATTATTTGATATAAATACCAGATGCTGAAAGTATTTTCATGTACAACATACTACGAAAGAAAAAAATATGAAAGAGTTTATATAACTTTTACATATTCACAAAAATTCTATTGTCTCACGTATTATTGATAGTAAATAAAATTAACAACCTAAAAAATAAGGTAGATAACTTGCACTATAGCAAGCTAAACCGCAAAATTTATTACACAATTAATGTATACTCTCTTCGGTCCACTTTAATTGATTTTTGGTCTTTTCTTTTATGGTCCACAATATTTGATTTTTTTTAAATATCAAGAAAGAATTAACTCTTTTTTTTCATAAAGTTGCCCTTGGGTAAAGAGCCTAGGAGTATTTGTTGTATTGTCAATGAACAAATTAAGATTAGTGTAGTCAATTACATTATTAATTAATGCTAAAATATAAATTTCTTAATATGCATGAAAACAACTAAAAAATAACTTGAATGTATAGGAGGAAATATGAGTTAACTCCCTATATATATATATGTATTTCTTTCATATTGTTTCTGTGGAGTTACTAATATTGTTTTCTTTTGTCCTTTTGTCTTATTGAGCCGAGAGTCTTTCGGAAATAGCCTCTCTACTCCTTCGGGGTAGGGGTAAGGTCTGCGTACACACTACCCTCCCCAGACCCCACTAGTGAAATTACACTGAGTTGTTGTTGTGGTCGTCTATAAGAAAGGCTAAGTGGATTAATGAACGAAACTCGAAAACTCTGCACCGACCACAAAATTTTCTAGTTTTAGATATTTAGGTCCACTCGGGTCCAAACTAGTCCACATTCCTCTTTTCTATATACATTTCACACAAGAAAACCCCCCACCTCCACCCCCACCCCCA